TGTCCTGCCGCTTAGCACAGTGGAGTGTGAACGAGGCTTCTCGCGGCAGAACGTCATCAAGTCATGGGTGCGGGGCGCGTTGTGCAATGCGCGTCTGGGCGAGCTGATGGTCATTTCCCTGCTGCAGTATGAGATTGACTGGGACGAGGCCCTTGAGTGTTGGCGCGAAAAGCTGAGGCGCCCTGCTAAGTCTGTTCTGTTTGCCTCAGCGGAGATGAAGCGTAAGGCCAAGGCGATTGAGGGGGCAAAAGGGAGGGTGGAGGAGGAGGCAGTCCCTGACTACGTGGGGGATTGGGCAGAGGATGAGGGAGAGGAGGGGGTAGAGGGGGGAGAGGCTCCTACTGAAGTGGAAGACAACCTGTTTCTGTCCGATGACGACGCAGAGGACGATGTGAACATGGATGGCCCTGAATTTTAGTTAACGGTAGCTAGTGGCGTGGAATCTTGTAAAGTGTAGACTAGGTAGAGGACTTAACTGAATTTGTAGATTGGCGTAGTGGTGCTTTTGCTAAACTACTAGTAGCTGTACAATCCTAAACTGATTTTTTGCAAGTGCAAAGCAACCCTGTTTGTGGCTAGCCAACCCTGAAGGTTTCAGGGTTGCATGTTCCAGAACACTGAGAAATCAGGGAAGCCAAAATTTCAATACAAGGCCCTCAGGGTAATTTTTTTTCCCCATTCGACAGCTCAGGGTGCTATTTTTTGAAACGTCAGCCCTGCTTGTAGCCTCTTCCCAGTGGCTAGACTAGTAGTGACCCTTCCTGGTCTTGCTCTTACCTTGTCTATACTTGTTTGACTGGTCTTTAGACCCCTGCCACAGAGGCTGGACTAGTAGTGCCACCCTAACAGGCCCCCAAATTGCAGAATTCTTACTCTGATTCAGACTTTTTTCAGAGTTTTTTTGGGGGTGTACTCTGATTCCAAAGACATTTTTTTCTATGTTACTCTGATTTTTTAGAGAAGTTTTATGTACCTACTTTGATTTTTCAGACTTTTTTGACAAGTGTACTCTGATGCTTCATCTTTGTATGGGGGGGGGACTCTGATTCCTGTAATACCGTCATTATAGGGGGGGTTGTGAGATTTGCGTTGGTACCTCTGTCGTCACCGTCAATCACGCCAGAATTACATTTGCGCTGGCGCGGCCCGAGCCGTCGGGCGGGCAAATTTTGTGCGATGGCGCCAGCAGAGAGATAGCCTGAGCAGCCGATTGGTCCTTGACCAAAACACGGTTGTTTTCGCCAATCCTGAGGCATTTTGCTGGGTGAGGCACAGCAGACGAGGCACCGCACCCATGCTGACGCGACGAGTGCCTGGTTCATTCATGCATGGACAGCATCTCGCGCACTGCGATGGAGTTACAGCTGGCAGACCCCCTCCTTCTCCATCAGTTCTTTACTGACGGGGAAAACGACCCCTGCTTCTCCCCCCTCCAGCAAAACTTCAGCCAAGCTTCGTGTAGCCCCTCGGTTTTCTTTCAGTGCGTTTGTTTTCCCACCGCGCCCCTGCAGGCCATGGAGCAGGTCGACCTCGATGAGGACGTAGACGAGGCAGATTATGACGAACAAGACGAAGAGTACTGGTGTGCCGAGAATTTCCGCGATGGTCCGGCCGCACTAAAGTTCCTGCGGCAGTCGGATGCTTCAGATCGTAGCCCTCAGAGGGAGCCTGGTGACGCTGCCCCTGCTGATGGCGATGCACCTGTTCCCGATGCAGCGGGCAAGAAGTCTGGGGATGCAAGCCCCCTGCCCACTGCTTCAGCTCCTGTCGCCGGCACCACGCCGTCGGTGACGGCGGCGAAGAGGTTCCGGTACAGGCAGGTGATTCTGCCGTACACCTCAACGTCGACATGCCAGGATCCGCCTGAGCCTGTGCCGAGCCCCTTTGTACATGCGGACTTGCCAGAATCGTCTGGCGGTAGGTCCACTGCTAGAACGAACGAGGACATCTATGCTGAGGCCCAAGAGCGTTTCAAATCTCGCTGGTCTGACAGATTTCCTTGGCTCATGCTTTTGAAAACTGATGATGGGCTCCCGGCCTTCAAGTGTAGTGTATGCGCAGTGCATGCAGGACCTGCAGGGCGTACCGGCAAATTGGGCAAGGGAGCAAAGGACGTGTAGACACAGTCGTTCAAGAAGCACGCCGGAACGCAGAAGCATCGCCTCGCCATGTCCAAGCAGGACGATCTCCTGCAACAAGCGTCTAACCAGCAGCGGATCGACCTGCATCCCCACGCGGCCGACGAAGAGAAGGAGCGAGTGATCGCGTTGCTCGACTCCCTCTACTTCTGCGCCAAGTGTAACGAACCCATGGAAATTTGGATTCGTTTGGTGCGATACCTCTCATCGCGCAGTTTCAAGGGCTTCCCGAAGTCTGCCTACGGCACGTACTATAACTGGTGAGAACTCCAGTGACTATGAACTGCGCTATGTTTCGTCTGTAGATATGAAACTTACAACAACTTGCACTGTGCGTGTCATGTAACAGGTATGGCTTCGGCGAACTGACACAAGCGACGGCCACGTGGCTACAGACGCCTCAACTCCAACACCTGCTGGCGAGTCCCTACATTGGCCTGAGCCTCGACAAAAGCACCGATCGCTGCCGTGGCAAGCACATGATCGTGTTTCCCACGTTCATCCGAGAAGGGCGGCTTGTAACCGAGTACCTGGCTCTGTTGACGGTGGAGAAGGCGGATGCGGCATCGCTACTCGCCCTCTTGTTGTCCCATCTGCAGGCGATTGGCGTCGACCTCGGCCGCATCTCTGGCATTAGCACTGACGGCGCTGCCGTCATGATGGGAGCGCGCTCTGGACTTGTGGCCCGCCTTCGTCTTCGCGTTCCGCACCTTGTCTCTTGCCATTGCATTGCCCATCGGTTCGTCAACCGTTTGCTGTGTGCATGTCATGTTTATTTGCTTGTTTTGTTTATAATTCCAATCGCTAATTTGCTTCCTATATTGCATCTCATCCCCTTATCCCACGCAGAGAGGCGCTGGCGGCAAAGGCTGCAGCTGAGGAGATCCCTGTCTTCAGCATGGTTGACAACATCATTCGCGAGATCCCTGAGCTGCTCGGTCGCTCCAACCCTTGGCATCAACGATTCTTGGAGCTCCAGGACGTGTTCATGTCGACGAACTCGAGCTCCAGGGCATCCACAACATCCGCTGGCTGTCGCGCGGAGATGCTGTCATCCGCCTGGTCGAGGTCCTACCAGCCATCGTGGTCATGCTGCAGGAGTACGACGCCAAGCTGTACGCGCTCGTCACCAGTTACCGCTTCTGGCTCCTCATGATGTTCCTCGCCGACGTGCTCGAGCTGCTGAACATGCTCAACAAGGTCTTTCAGCAGCGGGAGGTAAATATGTTTAATGCTTGTGTTTGCAACTTTGCATGCATGTCGATATTGCTCGTCTCTGCCGCTCGTCCCTTAACCACACATCCCTCTGTGATGCCCTAGCTTTCCTCGCCCCCCTACCCACCAGCTGGACTACACAACGGTGCACGCGCAGATCATCCGCACGACCTCGCTGCTAGAGAGCCGCTACGTGGACTGCGGAGACGACTTCACCGGCGGGCCCAATGATCGATTGACGCGGTTCCTCGCCAAGCACGGGCCCGGCAAGTCCAAGCTAGTGACAGTGGAGGGGATTGACTCCGATGGCCGACCTTTACGGTTCACCTTCGAGCTGCACGAAGAGCCCCAAGAGGACTACCCCGGGCCCAGCGACCACGATGGGAGTGTCGTGGCGTGCATGGCTCTAGCGGAGGGCCTGGTCCGCAACCTCGACGAGCGCCTAGGCGATCTGCGGCAGCTGTCGGGAGCGCGCCTGTTCAGCGTCGACACATGGCCGCCCAACTGGGACCGACACGCACGGAGGACGCAGTGCCTCGAGTGGTTCAACTCGCTCGTGGTCATCTATCGCGCTGAAGACAGGGACGAAATTCTGCCAGGTAAATTTGTTTACTCCTTTCAGTATCCCTCTCGCAATGTTTATGAAACAAGACACATGTCTTTTCGTTAACCCTGTGTAGTGATTCAGATAACCCAACCCTTCTTCGTTTCCTTGTGTTGTGTGCCCTTGTCTGATCAGGTATAGACAAGCGCAAAGCCCAGAGCGAGCTCCGCAACTTCGTTCCCGTCCTTGCTGCGCTTCCCAAGGCGGACAGGTCATTCCACGCGGGGTTGAGCGCCATACTAAAGACGCAGGACTGGAGGGACAGCTACCCCAACCTGGTCAACGTGTGGGTGGCGGTGTCTGTCCTTCCGTTGAGCACTGTCGAGTGCGAGCGCGGGTTCTCCCGCCAGAACGTCATCAAGAGTTGGCTGCGGGGGGCTCTCAAGGATACTAGGCTAGGAGATCTGATGTGCATGTCGCAGCTAGAGTATGACCCCGACTGGCAAGAGGTGGTCACCATCTGGCGGGCTTATAAGAAGAGGAAGCCCCTTAGCAATGCCCTCCCCGAGTCTTGTAGCAGCATGAAGGGAAAGGAGAAAGTAGATTATGATAATGATATGGCGACAGCACCGCAGCAAGAAATGCCGGATATTGATTGATTCTGTGCATGTAGTGAATTGTAGTGCATTCTCTAATGAAGAACCATAAAAAAGGCTCATACAAAAGTTTGGCTATAACTCTGATTGGTCAGACAAAAAATTGAAGGCTACTCTGATTTTTCAGACTTTTTCAAGGAGGCAACTGTGACACCCATACCAAGGGAAGGCAGTGGACTCTGACGAATCAGACAGACCCAAAACCAATTTGGGGGCCTGCACCCTAAGCTGTTTCTCTCTCATCAGGCACTACTCCAATCCAATCTAGGGGGGGTGTCAAGCATATATTGTATGTTTCTATAGACTATATAGGATTGTACCTTAGGGAATACAACCCATCAAGTTAAATTCCATTGTATGCATTGCTCTAGATATTCTCACACGCCTAACGCAAGAATTTAAAGATTTTTTTTCCATGAGGGCGTGTTCCTACGTGACACAATGTCCCATTACTTCATATCAAAATTGTTCTCACAGGCAAATTTGAGGGGCTAAATCCAGAATGTCACGTAGGAATAGGCTCGTAGCATCTACCTGTCCCAACACATAGAACATAGTAAAAAAAATCCCAGTCCTAGTGCTTAGTTCAACAAAGCATATCGCCAGAGTATGCCCATAAGGCTCCTAAGCCCTCCCTAGTTATTCCCAGCCATGTCACACCAAACGAGTCCAGTGGCCCCAATTGCATCTTGTACGCAAAGGAAAGTAAGCGTCCCCGTCCTACAACTAAACTGCTCTCCCTAATCCTTTCGTTGCAAGTCACTCACTTGGCGGGGCCCCAGGGATAGTCAGCCACGAGAAACCTTTGGCGGTACTGCCTAAAGCGCGCCAGTTGGCCCGCTGTCGGCGATGCCATCCACGGCGCCCGGGCGGGGCTGCGCCAAGCCTTGCAGGGAGGCACGGCGCCGCTGGGCGGCACACGGCACGTCCTGCGGACGTCGAAGTTGCTGTACTGCACCACGATGGGGCCGCGTGCGAAGCTTGGCTTGAGCTTACTCCACGACGACGCGTCCCAGATGGATCCCTGGAGACGGACGCGGCGAGGGAAGAACGAGGATTCGGGTTTAGAAAGAGCGACATTTTGTGGGAGGTGGGGAGGGTTTGGGAAGGGATGGTGGTCCGCAGGGAAAACGAGCCCTAAGGTCCTCAACAAAATGTGAAAAGAGGCCTAAAGCCCGGAATAGTAGAGGAAAGAAACGCGGTATACCGCATTTTGATTTTCCAGACTTTGTTTTTACCTTCAGCAAGCATGGGTCTTGCCGACTCACCATGATCTTGACGTTGTCGGAGGGGAAAGGCTTCCCGGGGGTCCTGGCAGTGATGCGGATGGGCGTGTTGTCGATCATCCACACCACGCGGTCGGGCGAGTACACGATGGTGTACGTGTGGAACGCCGCCGACGGGTCAAACGGGAAGCGGAATTGCTCCAGCTTGACCTGCCCGCCCGTGATAAGATTCGTGTGGATGGTGATGTTCATGGGGTCCGTGCCGCCGAGGAATTCGAGGTCGATCTCGTCGTGGATGGACTGGTACGAGACGGCGCCCGGCGTGATGAGGTACAGGCACGGGATGATGCCGCCCGAGTACCCCGCGGGCAGCTTCATGCGCACCGAGTAGACGCCATAGCTGTAAATGCCCGTCGACTCGAACGCTGGTGAAGAGAGCGGAGGAGGACACGTCAACAGGAGGGTTTAGATTCAATCTCAAGTTTCATGCGCACGCTGTAGATGCCGTAGCTGTAAATCTCGTCGACTCGAACGCTGGGAAAGGGAGCGGGAAAAGGGGTTTTGAGAATAAGAGCAACAGGAGGGGTTGAGACGTCTCAAGCTTCATGCGCATTGAGAAGATGCCGTAGCTGTAAATGCCCGTCGACTCGAACGCTGGGGAAGAGAGCGGGAAAGGGGACCGAAGGGAATAACAGCAACAGGAGGGGTTTTGAGACGTCTTAAGCCTCAATCGCACCGAGTGGACGCCGTAGCTGTACACACCCGTCGACTCGAACGCTGTGGGAGGGGGAGGAAGGCGGCGACAGGAGAGGGTTGGGCGAGAGGAAGGGTCAGTTTCTTTCGCAGGCTAGCGCTGCGAGGTTTTTTTCGCAGCCTAGGACAACATTGGACGCAAACTGTCGTCGCGCATGCCATCGTCGCACGGCGTTGTCGCACGGCACCGTCGCGAGCTCACCTCCAACGGACTTGGCGTTGACGGCGAGGGCGACGGAGCCGTCAGCCCCGCGCGTGCAGTAGGGCGGCTTGCACCACGAGGAGAAGGCGAAGTTGCGGTTGAATGACGGGTCCCCTCCCTGCGCGCTAGCCAGCGCCGCCATGGCAGCCACAGTCACAGCGAGGATCACGGCGAAAAGACGAGGCGAGAGCGCCATGGCTGGGCGCACTACGAGGCGATCTTGCAGAGTATGCGGACGGTAAGCGGCTGGAGCTAGTATGCGGAGTGGTAATGGGAGAAACTATTCAGCTCAGTCGCAAAAGATTTAGAGAGTCGACCCGATACTCTCGTCTATATGTATGAAAATGCACGAAATTGAGTGCAAAGCGGAGCGCCTTGCGCAAGGCGCTTGACGGGCTTTGATGCTTCAACCACCCTCTCGAGACGCGCACTACTGCACCAACGAGCCGGCATGGTTAGGGGGGATGGGGCGAATAGGCCCCTCTGCTCTGCGTGGCCCTTCGTTGGTCGTGGTGTTGGCTTGGTTGCTTCACTGCGTTTCGGTTGGGAAGGGCGTAGGGCATCGATGGATGGGGTGGGGGCTTAGCGGCGCGACACCGCAACCATGTGTCGGTGGGTTCGTGGTTGCCGCAAATGATAAATTCTGCCCGCAGCGTGTATTGAACTCGACATTCCTTACGATAATATACTATGAGATGGATTGGTGGGCGAAAGACCAATAAATCACTTCCTGTTAGCCCATAAGTTGAAGTAATTGCTTGGGTTGTGTTCTGGTTCGGAGTGTATTTCACGAGATAAACTTTCCGCGAAACATATATTGCCCACAGATTTGTGCCGTGAAATGCGGCGCCCATGAGGTGCCACTCAGCGAATCGCGGACCAAATGGGCCTTTGAATTGCTCCATCGTGAGTCCGTGACACACTCCCTCACATTCCCATCCCACACACTCGAGCAATCCGCAACCCCCGGTCTAGATGGCTGAATAAAACAGTAAAATCTACATTCACTACGTTCTCTTAACAAGTGATTAGCTAATACGATAAGAGGGAACTATACGCAACTATTGATCCGGCATGCATCGAGATACTACTGCTGAGACAGCATGCCTATGAATGCCTTTTTAAATGGTTAGCGTTGGAATCCCGCACCGATGTGCCGTGACCCTTGTCCCCTAAACCTTGTACGCGCATCCGGCAAACTCCTACCTCCCATAGATTGCCGAGATCCAACACCTCTATGTGTGGCACTTGTTGCAACCTTCTCCATCTCGTGTGCAGCTCTACCACTGGTCACCTCCTCCCCTTTCCCCTCTTGTCCCAACACATCCCCCTTACATGCTTCTCCATCCCCACTACAGCTAGCAGCCCCCGACACACCTAAGCAGGGGCCAGAAGCATCGAGCGATGGCCCTGAATTTACACCCCACTCCAGCCCTGTCACGTCTGCTGCCTCAAACACTTCCTGCAGCTTCTGATCTTCCCTCAAAAGGAGCCCCTCCACCTCCTCCCCATGCCTCAGTGCAAACTCCAACAACTTCCTAACTTCCTCCTCCAAGCTACTCCTTCCCACACCACCCCCTCCCTCATCACCCCTCTCCCTACCACTCTCTCCTCCACCACCGGGCCTCCCCTCAGCCTGAGCCCGAACCACCATCTCAGCTAGCTCCGCAATCACCTTGTCCTTGCGCCGAACCTCGCGCCGAACCTCCCGCCACCGGTCCTTGGCAATGCCCATGAGCTGAACCAGCACCTTGTCCTTTTGCTCCAGCCGCCGCTCCAGGCTCTGCCACCTGGGCCCCCTGCCGGGCCTGGGAGCAGCAGCCTGCAGCTGTCTCTGCAGCAGAACCGTTCGAGATATCACCACCTGCTGCTGCTGCTGCTGCTCGAGCCTTCTCCTCTGATCGTCTACCCTACGCCCCACCATACCTCTGCTACTGCCTGTTCCTCCTCCTGATGATGTGCCTGCACCCGCACCAGCAGCCCCACTAGCAACCCCACTACCAGCAGCACCAGCACCAGCAGCAGAAGCCCAGCGCTCCTCCTGCTCCCTTAATCTCTCCTCCAACCGTGCCACCTCCTCCGCTCGCCGCTCTGACTCAGCGCGCAGCGCCGCCACCTCATCGTCCAGCCTGGCGACGGCTGCGTCGCGCGCCGCCAGCTGGCGCTCGAGCCCCTCGATGCGCTCCTTGGCATCGCCCGCCATGGCTAGGAGCTGCTGCTTGGCCGAGTCAACGTCCCGAACCACCAGGGAGGATGGAGACGTGGCGAAGGATGAGGGGAGGTTGGTCAGGGAGGAGGTGGGTGCAGCGAGGGAGGAGGGGTGAGCAGCAAGGGAGGAGGGAGGGGAGGAGGAGTTGACGTGGGAGTCTGAGAGAGGCGACGGGAGGGAGAGACGGGGGGTTGAGGAGGATAGTAGGGCGTTGGTGGAAGCACAGGCGGGGCCTAGTGAGAGAGAGAGGGAGGTGGGGCCGGAGACGGAGGGAGAGGAGGAGGAGCGAGTGGGGTGGGAGGAGCCTGAGGGGGAGGAGGAGGAGGTCATGGCCATGTCCAGTGCACCGCCAAACAGGCCCAGGCTGAAAGTTATGGGGCTGTTGGGATTCATGCGCGACGGGAAGATAGAGGGGGGAGGGGAGGCTGGGGCGCCACCCGCAGGAGAATCAGCAGAGCCCGCATCCCTGTGTGTGGAGGGATGGGGGCGGTCGGGGAGAGTGTCTGGTGAGCAGCTTTTCTTGTCCCTGGGAGGTCCGTACGAGGAGGATGCTGATGTGGCAGAAGGACTGGGCGATGAGGAGAGGGGACCAGGGGAGGCGAAGGAAGCGGCAGCGGCAGCAGCAGCGGCGGCGGCGGCGGCAGCCGTGGCAGCGTGAGAAGTAGGGGATGCAGGCTTCTGCGAGTCTCTTGTTGCAGGTGCTGCTGCAGGGGGAGTGGCAGGGGGAGTGGCAGGGGTAGTGGCAGGGGAACTTCCTGCGCTGGTGGTGCTGCTGCTGCTTCCACTGTTGCTCCCCGACACACTCTTGTTCCGCCCCATCCCAAACGAGCCAAAGAGCGACAAAAACCCAAGCCCTTGACTAATTTCTCCTCCTCCTCCACCTCCTCCCCTGCCCTGCACTGTGCTCGGCTCTCTGCCCTGTTCTGTGCTCTGCTCCTTCCCCTGCTCTTCAATCACCTCTTCACCCATCGCCTCCATTGTTACGCCCTGCTCTTGCTCTCCCTCTCTTGTCACCAGTCCTGCTTCCCCTGACTCCGTCATTGTCTCCGCCTCCTCCTCCTCCTCCTCCTCCTCCTCCGTCTCCTCCCCTTCCCTATCCCCCTCCGGAATCACAGGCAGAGCCCCAACGGTAACCTCTGGATCCTCCTTCTCCTCCTCCTCTCCACGCCGCTTCTTCACGAGCCCCTCAGCAGCCACGCGCAGCAGATGCGCCTTCGCCTCTTCCAACCCCATCGGCCTCTCACTCTCACTCTCGTCCTGCTCTTCTCCCTCCCCGCCCCCCCTCTCTCCCCTCCTCTGCTGCCCTTCCTGGCCGAAATGCCTCCGGCAACCTTTCTCTTCGCCCCTGCATCAGTGGCGGTGCCTTCAAGCGAGAGCCCCGAGAGCAGCCCTTCCCTGCTCCCTCCTCCCCCACCCCCACCACCTCCCGTTCCTCCCGTCTTCCTCCTCTGCTCCTCCTGCTCCTCCTCCTCCTCTCTCTGTCTCTCCAGCAACTCATTAAACCGCTCCTCCCTCTGCTTCCTCTCCCTCAGCTTCTGCTGCTCCTCCCTCCGCCTCTCCCGCTCCTCCTGAGCCTGCTTCTCCTTCGCCTTCTGCTGCTGCTCCTCCGCCTGCCGCTGCTTCACGCGTGCCAGCATCAGCTCTAGCCCCTTCAGCTCCTTCTGCAGCTTCCCCACTGGAACGTCCTTCTTCTCCGCCTCGCCCTTGCCGTCTCCTCCCCCCTCTCCCTTACCTTCTCCTCCCCCCTCCCCTTTGCCTTCTCCCTCTCCCTCTCCTGCCCCAGTTACTTGCTTTCCATCCCCGTCAATCTCCCCTTCACCGTTCTCACTCGCACTCTCACCGCTCCTCAGCTTCTCGGACTCCTCTGCACCGCTCTTCACCGAATCTTCTCCTGCACTTGTGCTCGTTGCTTTCTCATCAGGTTTGCCCGCACCCTGTTCTCCTGAATCCCCCACAACGCCCTGACCTAAGCCCTTCCCCTCCCTCTCTCGATGTGTTGAGCCTGCAGCAGCTGCTGCCCCATCTCCTGCTGTCGTTGCTCTCCCTGCTGATTCACCACCACCACCAGCGATGCCAGCAGCAGCACCACCAGCAGTAGCAATAGCTGAAGCAGCAGTACCGACAGCTGCAGTGGCAGCAGCAGCACCACTACCACCATCACCACCTCCAGCAGCAGCAGCAGCAGCAGCGGCCTCTCTCTTCCGCCGTTCCCTCTCCCTGGAAGCAGCAGTCAGCTCTGCTAGGGCTCGCTGCAGGTGAACCATGCGGTGCACGCCCCCTCCCGCCCCCCCATCCGTCCCCCCATTACCCCCATCCCCCTGCTCCTCCTCCTCTTCACTACTCTCGTAGTCATCGTCATCATCCCCCCAGCTTATCTCCCTCTCCATTGGCGACTCCTCCTCACTCTCTCCCTCCCACTCTCCATCCCCACTTCCCCCCTCCCCCTCCTCCTCCTCTCCGCCCTCCCCCCCGTTCCCCAGGTCCGCATCCCCACGCTCCGCGCCTCCCCCACGCGCCTGTCCGCGCGCCCTCAGCGCAGCAGCTTGCGCCAGCAGCTCATCCACCCTCGAGCGCATCTCCCTTCTCCCCTCATCCCCCTTATTCGCATCTCCGCTACCAGCATCCGCCCCTGCGTCAGCCGTCCCATTCTCACGGGGCCCATCGCCAGTCTGCCTCTCCCGCCCATCTCCATTCTCTGGATGCTCCCCTTCCAAGGGCGGCAAAGGCTCAGAGGGCGGCGTCGGCACAGAGGGCGGCAGAGGTTCAGAGGGCAGCAGAGGTTCAGAGGGCGGCAGAGGTTCAAAGGGCGGCAGAGGTTCAGAGGGCGGCAGAGGTTCAGAGGGCGGCAGAGGCACAGCAGCACCTGCCTCTCCTTCCGCTGCCTTCCCAGCTATCTTCCCGTCCACGCCAGTGCTTCCTTCCCTCTCAGCTCCTCTTTCGCCCCCTCCCCCTTCGCCACCTCCTTCCGCCTCCCCTTGTGCCTCGCCCCTCCCATCGGTTCCCCCTCCTGCATCCACCCCTCCCTCTCCACCCCCCTCTTTCTCCCCAACCATCACCACCACGCTTTCCAACCCCTCAGTGCCCTTGCCATCTCCCTCCTCTTGAGGCGCCTCAACGCCCTTGCTCTGTTTCTCCCCCTGAGGCGACTCCGAGACTTCAACCTGCGCCTGCGTCCCTTCCTCTGTGCGCAAGCCCACTTCCCTTTCTCCACTCTCCACCGGCGCTTGCCCATGTTGCAGTCCACTCTGCTCCCCACCCGCTGGCACGCGCTCCTCCTGCTGCCTCTCGCCTCCTCTAAGTTTCTCACTCTCCGCTGGCGCTTCCCGATTCTGCTGCTCCCCCTGAGGCGTCTCCGAAACGTGGCCGTTCCGCTGCTCCCCACCCTGCGGCGCACGCACCTCCCGCTGCCTCTCGTCCTCTTCGGATTTCTCACTCTCTGCCGGCGCTTGCCCAACTTGGTGCGTCCCAACTTCCGACACACGCGCGCTTTGAGACGCCTCACTGTCCCTCTCTCCCTCCGTCCCGTTCTCCCCCACCCCGTTCTCGGTCCGAGATTCCTCCGTGTGCATGTCTGCGCCACCTTTCGCCGTGTCGCTGACGGGTTGGGCCGCCAGATCAGGCTCTGGGCCCTCAGTCGACCGAGGCCCGTTCTCGCCACTCGCGGGGAGGGAATTAGTCATATCAGTTACTGAATTCATATCAGTCATCTTAGTCGTATTAGTAGACGCAAGAGTAACAACTGGCTCAGGTTTAACGCCTGCCGGCAGAGCTGCATCGAGTCCGACCGTGCCGGATTTTGCAGGACTTTGGTCAGCCGCACTGCCCTTGATTGCATCGTCGCTGCCATTTTTCTCGGGAGCCACGCGGGACTGCGAGGGCGAAAGCCCGAAGAAAGTCCCCCATCCAGGTCCTCCGCTGCTCATGCCTGAACCGCGACACTAACGAACTGAGGTTACAAGGTACCGCTTTTCGAAAGCGTGCTAAGTATTACTATCGACTAACGATAACGAGCGGACCATTGGCGAAACTCTAATCCGCTACCTGACTCACCATGCGGTCTGCGTCAGCTAAAGCGCAGGGTAGTCGGAAGTCGCATTGAGCTGAAATACCTAGGTAAGGACCAGCAACATTCGAGGAACTGCGGCCTACTGACAGGATTCTGGAATATTTGTGAGAGTTGTGGATGATGGGGAAGGGGTTCCGCTGGTGGAATATGGTGGTTGTGGCTTCACCTTGGGAACGCGGGCGGTTTGGGTTTGGGAAAGGTTTTCACAGAAGAGATTCTCCTACGTTCGTACCCTTCCGTTGGGTAGATCCCAGCTCACCCCTCCATGCATACGGAGTTAGATGTTCGTCAAATAAACGCTGGTGTTGGAAACGGGGCAGAGGTGGGTTTGCGGGATGAGTCAAAACGTAGGGACTCGGTGTGAAACAGCTCTTGGGTAGTTTCGAAGTCCTGCTGCACCTGGCGGACAATCTGAAACTGCAAATCATCACAAAGGCATTTATCGCACCAATGAAATTCGAGAATTTCCGGCGGGAACATCCGTTGGCAGCCGTTGGAACAGAAACTTTGGGATAAGTTCGTTACATTAATTTAGGGAGGTTAATAGCAGCAAGACCACCACACTTTCACAATCGGTGTACCTTGTGGCGAGGAGTTTCTGGAGATCAATTCGTTTTGGCGCAAACATCAAGGCGCAGGTCAGCTGCCCCAGATGCCAAAGCAAGATCGTTCGTTGCAATAGATCCACAGGTATTTCCCAGACACCAAACCTGCCCGAGAGCTGGACCCTCATGCTCATTCGCCAACACGTCAGGAATCTGTTCAATTCTGGTCTGGGCAGAATTTCCCAAGGCGTTGCGGTGGTCTATGCAAGGTGTGCCTCCACCCGCCGACGTTTTCGCTTTTCTCAGAGTTTGGGCAGGGGCTTTCCGCCCACGACAGGGCATCTCCCCCTTTTTCGTGGACCGCCAGCAAAGCAATCCCGAGCCAAGCCCAAGCGCGCGCCAGCTCGTTGACATTTCACCAACCTCGGTGTCGTCGAAAGGAGGACACAGACGCCGAGGCACTCAATAACGCGGATTCCTGGCACAGGGAATTCATCCATGTCATCCATTTCTGCCATTCTGCTCATCGTCCCTCCCAGATCTCAGTTTCCCTTCCATCTCCCACCTTCAGCGGTAGGTGACGGATCTAGGATCCACCTCTCTCAATCGTGTAGTATTCCCCGGCATCTTCTGCAGCCCTCTAGTATACTTGCTACCGCAGGCTGTATCTACCGCTAGAGAATGGCTTCAGGAGAAGATATCCCGGCGGTTGCGGAAGACAACTCTCAGATCGACGCAATCGAAGCTCCAGACGCCGGAAATTCATCCACTGACATTGCCGATTCAGCTGCCCTGGAATCCGCCAACACGGGCGACGACCTATCGAACGCATCGGGATTCGAACCCGCGATCGGTCCCGATGGAGCCGATTCCGGCTTTGCCCCAGCGGACGTTCCGGAGCTCGCGGCGGTCCCGGAGATGGGGGCGGAGCCGGTAAAGACACATCGCGAGTTTTATTTCATCAGAATTCCGCGCCCGGACCTGTCGGCGGAGATCGGCAAGATCAAGGCGGTGGAGCAGCGCGTGAAGGAGAAGCGCGACAAGCAGCAGGCCGTTAGCGCCGCCCTCCGCGCCAAGAAGGTACCGCGGCAAGAAGTCTGCTTCGCTTGGTTCACTTGAATCCTGCTGAGCAGGATTAATTCCTCATTCATTTCCTTTCATGCGATGCTCCCCTGATGATTCCTTTCTTGCCTTTTCTCCTGATCTTACCTTCCATTCCTCGCCGCCGCAGGCGCAATGGTCGGAGGCCTTCGAGGCGCTCAAGGCGGCGCGGGCGCGCGCGCGCGGGTGTTCGCAGGACGTGCGGAGCAAGTTCGACGAGGCGAAGCCGCTGCAGGGCGTGCTGCGCAAGATGAACGAGAGCAAGGCCACCGCGCGCGACCGCGGCCGCGGACTCGAGTGCACCTCGGAGGCGCAGCTGAACGCGCTGGTGAGATGATCAGCATCCGATCTTGCCGTGCCTGAAGGATTCTATCATGCAGCTCATGCATGAGATGGACTTGGATTAGGCTCCGTGAATCGATCAGGCCACCCATCCATGAACTGATTGCGTCAGATGGCGTCAGATGGCGTCAGATTCCGTCAGATTGCGTCAGACTGCGTCCATGAAAGAGAACGAATTTGTAGCACATCGTCTCGCCGACGTCATTGGATGATGCCACTCGAGCAACGCTGTCACTTTCGTCTCCTCTTTCCCCGCTGCGGCGCTTGGGTCAAACCCCCCGCTATCCCTGTCTCTCCCTTGTTTCTCCCCCTTTCTCTCCCCCCCCCCCCGAATCCCCACCCGTCCCGCCCCCCAGATCGCGGCGACGGAGCACCGCATGCAGCACGAGACGATATTGCCGAAGGAAGGGAAGCAGCTGATGAAGGAGCTCAAGGACCTCGAGGCGTCGCTTGAGTCAAACCCCCCTCTATCCCTGTCTCCCGCTCACTTCTCCCCCATCTCCCGCCCTTTTTCTCCACCCCCCCCCTCCCTCCCCCCCCTCTCCCCCATGTCCCCTCTATCCTCCGCCCCCCTCCCCACCACCCAACTCAACTGCAGATCGCGGCGACGGAGCACCGCATGCAGCACGAGACGATCTCGCTCAAGGAGGAGAAGCAGCTGATGAAGGAGCTCAAGGAGCTCGAGGCGTCGCGCCCCAAGGTCAAGGAGATGGAGGCGCTGACCGCGTCGTTCGCGGAGAGCCAGGGGCAGCGCGACTCCATCCAGGAGCGCCTCAAGGTAATCATTATGCTGCAGTGCACCTTTCGCCTCCGTTTCTGGCCAGTCCCCAGCATGCGCTATGGGTGCTGAGCTGATCGCATCTGGTCGTCACCTCTCCCCTCCGCTCCTGGCCATCCCCCCCCTTCCCCCTTCCGCTCTTATTCTCTCCCCCATCCCCCTTCCTTCCCCCATTCCCGCCCTTCCCCCCAACCTCCCCCTTCCCCCCACCCCCCCTCCTCCGCCTCGTCGCCTCACGGCGGAGGTCGTCGTGTTGAAGCTCGAGCGCAACACAACAGTGTTGTAATCTCCTATCTTTCTCCTCTCCTCACTCCCTCCCCCCAACCAAATCCCCCCAACCCCGCCCACCGCCCCCCCTTTCCCCCGCCAGCCCATCATGGCGGAGGTGGACGTGCTGAAGCTGGAGCGCGACGCGGCGCAGAAGATCTGCGAGACGCTCGAGGCGGAGGCGGCGGCGCTGGACGCGGAGGTGCAGGCGCTGTTCGGGGAGCGCGCCAAGGCGCAGCTGGACGCTGATAAGGTTTACGACGAGCTGAGGGCTGCCCGCGCCGCCACAAACAAGAAGGTGCGTGCTTTCCTTTTTCCCCCTTGCTCTTATCACCTCGTCTCATGTCATTACCTCTCAAATCGGACCACCGTTTAGGAGTTCTCTCCCTTTCCCCCGGTCTCCCCCTCTCCCGTTCCGCCTCCCTTCCCATCGCTCCCGCTCCCCCTCCCTCGCAGGACGAGGATTTCCGCCAGTACCGCGCGGACCTGCCGACGATTCAGGAGCTGGCGGCGAAGAAACTCACCCCTCCCCGCTCTTCCCTTTCCCCGCTCCGCCCTCCCCCCCCCCGCCCTTGGCATTTCAGGACGAGGATTTCCGCCAGTACCGCGCGGACCTGGCGACGATCCAGGAGCTGGCGGCGAAGAAGGACGTGGCGGCGCTGGAGGCGTTCTGCGAGCAGCAGAGGGAGCGCACGCACGCTCGCCTCAACACCGACAGCGCGTACCGCACTGCGTACGTCGAGGCGAACCGCTACAGCACCATCCGCCGCTTCCGCTCGCTCGACACGCGCAGGCTCGGCGTGGACGAGGACCCCGCGAACCAGCTCGACGTGCCGTCCCGAACCTACGCGCCAGCCTCGGCGCCCGCAGCTTCGGCGGCCGCTGCTGGGGAGGCGAGGGTGGGGAGTGGGGCGGAGAAGAAGGGGAAGGGGGGAGGGGAGAAGGAGAGTGGGAAGCCGAGTGGGGGGGAGAAGGGGGCAGGGGGGAAGGGGAAGGGGGAGGCGGGGGCGGGGGCAGGGAAGGGGGGACGGGGGGCAGGGGCAGCAGCTGCTGGGGAGGTTGGGGAAGGGGAATGGGGGGGAGAGAAGGGGGAGGGGAAGGCGGGTAAGGAGAACGGAGTAGTGGTTAAGGCACCGGAGGTGCAAGTGGAGGAGGTGGACGAGGAGGCGGAGAGGGAGAGGCGGCGGGAGGAGGCGATGAGGAAGGCCAAGGAGGCGGAGGTCAGAAAGGCGAAGCTGGCCGAGAAGGCGCAGAAGAGAGCTGAGGCGCGCGCCGCCAAGGAGGCAGAGGCGCTCGCCAAGAGACGCGAGAAGGTGAGGGGATTGTGTGGGGAAGGGAGACGTGAGGCGACTGTGAGGAGAAGGGAGAAGGTGAGTTGTAAGAGGGTTATTAGAAGGGGCAGAAGAGAGCTGGGGCGCGGGGTGCCAAGGAGGCTGAGGCCGTTGCAAAGAGACGGGAGAAGGTGAGTCCGGGGGTGCGACGGACAGACTTGATAGAACCAAAGAGTCTGATGTTTTGAGTGCAGAACTGCATCCTCACCTTCCGCCTGTTGAGTCCAGAACTGCATCCTCATCTTTCACCATCGTGACTTCGTTGATACCACCCACTCCTACGAGACACACCACTTACTTCCTCTATCTCGTCTCTGCATGTTCGCGCGTTCTCCCTCCACCTTGCATTGATCCCCCACCCCTTCTTATTTTCTCTCCACTCTACCCCATGTCTCCCATCCCCGCAGGAGCGGGAGAAGCGTGCACGCAAGAAGGCAGCAGCAGCGGGGGTGCCATACGTTGAAGGGGCAGCAGAGGCACCAGCAGAAGGGGACGCCCCTGACGACGCCAACACCGGCGACGAGGCCTCAGCTGCAGAGGAATCCAGCGCTGCTGCTGCTGCTCCTGATGGCACGGCGTGGGAGAAGGAGGCGGGTCTGTCGAGGCGGGAGCAGCGCAGGCGACAGGCGCTGGTGGCGCTGAGGAAGAAGAAGAGCGGATGGCTCAGTGGGAACGTGCTGTGGGCCGTGGGGGGGCTGGCTGCTGTTATCCTCGTTATAGTCATTGCTTACTTTGTGGTGAGTCTATGAGACCTGTCGGTTGACTCAGAGGTGAAGGGAGCAGCGGGGTTGAGTCCAGCAGGGGGGGTGAGTCCAGCAGGGGGGGTGAGTCCAGCAGGGGGGGTGAGTCTAGCAGGGGGGGTGAGTCTAGCAGGGGGGTGAGTCCAGCAGGGGGGGTGAGTCCAGCAGGGGGGGTGAGTCCAGCAGGGGGGGTGAGTCCAGCAGGGGGGGTGAGTCCAGCAGGGAGGTGAGTCTAGCAGGGAGGGTGAGTCTAACAGGGAGGGTGAGTCCAGCAGGGAGGGTGAGTCCAGCAGGGAGGGTGAGTCCAGCAGGGAGGGTGAGTCCAGCAGGGAGGGTGAGTCCAGCAGGGAGGGTGAGTCCAGCAAGGGGGGGTGAATCCAGCAGCGGGGTAGAGTCCAGGTGACTAACGGGTGTGTGAGTCCAGGTGACGCGTGGGTCACTAGGTGCAGCGCAGGCGGCAGGTGCTGGTGTGCGAGGAAGAAGAAAAGCGGATGGTTCAGTGGGTCTGCCCTCTGGGGCTGTGGGTTGGCTGGCGGCTGTTATCCTCGTTATAGTCATCCCTTTGTTTGCAGCCCACTTGCTCTTGTCCCTCTTCCCTTCACCCTTGCAGCGAATTCAAACCTCTTCCCCGTTATCCCTCTCCCACCTCCCCTCACCGCCCCTTCCTGCCTCTCGCCCAAGCAGCAGCAGGCACTGTATCCGGCACAGCCCATCTTCGAGGCCGAGAGCTAGGCTCAGAGAACTCAACACAGAGAACTAGATACTGCTCAATGCAGCAGATGCTGCAGCTGTTGCTCTGCCGTAAGTGCTTACCACATGTATCCACTTGCAAAACAGCCACATTGGTTGTCCTGTTGCTCTTCCATGGCTGGAGCTGCACCCTATGCACCACCCAGGGCCCTTTCCAGACAGCAGGATGGCTATTCTGGGGGTAACATGTGGAATGCTATGCTGGGCTGGAAGGATCAGTCTAGAAGTATTTTGTTTGGACTGCTGGCTTCCTCATTGCTTTGCTATCCTAGCATATTTCGTGGCGGACTATTCCGGTTGGCGATATCGTACAGCCTGTCAAGAATAGGGCGAGCAACCCTGCGAACAACACTATTGTACAGTAGTATGCCTGGCCATTTTGTGGAATGCAGCACCACAGCTTGGGGTGTATTCCTATGCACCAGGATCAGGATCAAACTTGCGCATAACCATTTTTAACTGTTCTGAGACAAGATTCCAACACTTTACCTCACGAACAATACCACGCCTTCTGATCCTGATCCAGGTTTATAGGAATGCGCCTTTAGGCAGCCTATTTTTATGCAACGTCTTTTGGGCAGCCTAGCTTCACCAGTTGATTGACCGTACCAGAGCTGTGACAGAAGACGGGGCATGCTGTATATGTGGGCCTTTTGGGAGTCACTAGGTATAATTGCATTGCATAGCTTACGAAATGTTAAAACCTACTGTTGTACAGAAACCGAACAGCTACACTACGGCAAAGCATTTTAACTGTACAAACAGTGCCATCACCTCCACACGCTGACCAGAATCATCCAGCGGGCCTCAGCCCAATAAGCCGAAAAGCTCACTGCTCTGCCGTTGGATCTAAATTCGAGCATGCCACATGACATGAGCCATCACTCTGATTGGTTGTCTGTCAGGAGCTTCGGAGTTCTCGATGGGCGGCTTGCGCGCGAACTCCCCAAAAACTCGCGCAGGTGCAGCGGTGCAGAACACTGGCACACCGTAACTTTACTCGTTAAGGTTACTCCAAGATTTCGCAAGGCGTTCCTCTGGTGGCGAACAGATAACTCTCCTCGCTAGCACCTTGGCTCCCGCCACAACGGAACATTTTTGCGCTCCGCTCCCCCTCTTGAGCCGAATCCGTCAGCAGAATTTGTCGGCAAGAAGCGGGGAGGCACTCCACTACATTCACTCCATCTGCTCCATCCACTCCATCCTCTCCATCCACTCCATCCCCTCCCCTTCCTCTCATCCTGTCACCTCACAATCCACAACTGCTTACTCTCTCTCCCTACAGCAGCTTTCCCAAATCCCTCGAGCTTTCCTGGAACGGTTTCTCCAACACAACAATTTCTTGTCTTGATTCCTCAGTTTCGCTAGCTTCCGGTCACCGTAGTCGCCATCCATCAATGGCCGTCATATCCATACTATGCTAGGAGTTAGAGTGCTGCAAGCTATGCAGCCATACTTCTTTCGTAGTTTTCCAAGCTACGGATGACGTGTCTTCTACTAGGGAAACTAGGCTAGAGTAGTGTGTTTTCCAGGCTATGGCCGTCGTAACTTCAAGCCGTGATAGTTCCTGAAGCTATCACAGTATTCTCCTAGCTCATTCAGCTCGAGGAACCGTCTTTTAGTTTTTACATCTCGGATAAACTCTGCTACGTTAGATCGGACGACATCTGGATCTTCAAGAAGTTTCCTGTTTCCGTTAGCACGGAAGCCGTGATGTCCAGCGCCGCCAAGCTGTCGTCGCGTCTTCTGCAGAGGAGCTTCAGAGATGGCGCTTAAGGGACGGCGAGATTGAAGGTTCAGCGACAGCGAAATGGAGACTTCGTGACGGCGTGATTGGAGTTTAGATAGCGGCGACGTCGCCGGAGCTCGTAGCTACGGCGGGAACCTCCTCAAAGACGGCGACAAGCAACCTGACGACGTCGACAAGCAACCTGACGGCGGCGACAAGCAACCTGACGACGTCCACAAGCAACCTGACGACGGCGACAAGCAACCTGACGACGGCGACAAGCAACCTGACGACGCCGACAATCAACCAGACGGCGCCGACAAGTAACCTGACGACGTCGACAAGCAACCTGACGACGGCGACAATCAACCTGACGATGGCGACACGCAACCTGACGACATCGACAAGCAACCTGACGGCAGTGACAAGCAACCTGACAACGGCGACAAGCAACCAGACGGCGGCGACAAGCAACCTGACGGCGTCGACAAGCAACCTGGCGACGAGCAACCTGAAGACGGTGACAATGAAATCGAAGCTCCAGCGACGGCGAAATCTGACCTTTCGCCGATGGGGACACGAGGATCCAGGGTTGCGATATCGGAGCTTCGACGTCGAAATCAGAGCTCCGGGGACGGTGAAAGCGGAAATCGGAGCTCCTGGTGCTGGCAGTGATGCCGTTGCTGCGGCTAACCCTGCTGCCGATCCTGCTGCCGACAGTGCTGCCGATTTTTCTGCTGACGGTACAGCAGAACCTGCTGCCGACCCTACTGCTGACGGTGTTGCCGAGCCTGCAACTGGCGGTGCTGGCGAACCTGCTGCTGACGACGTTGCTGCTGATCCTGCTGTCGATGATGCTGGCGTTTCTACTGCTGATGGTGGTGCCGCCGCTGCTGGAAACGTGTCCTGCTACTGCTGACGGTGGTGGTGGCGCTGCTGCTGCATCCGCTCGGACAACCTACCCAAACAGCTAAGTGCTCTCACCCTTGTGCTTTTCTCGTGCTCGTTGCTGTTTTTCTTGTACCGCCGAATTAGAAATTATGGCCCTAGGCACTGCTGCGTTGGGGGCTGACAGGTGGATGGGCGGCTGGAGTAAATTGGTGAAAGTGAGGGCGTGGGGCTCGTGGCACTTGGTGGTCGGTCGCTTGCATGGTCTAGTCGGGTTGTACACCTCAGCATGCATTCATTCCCATGCACGCGTCCCTCTCTCTCCTCTTGAACCTCCTCTTTCTCGTCTCAGTCCCCCTCGCATGGCAGCCAGGTGCCGTGGGTTTGCCTGTGCCTCACACTCCTTGCCCCTTGAATCCTGGAAAGCCTACCTGTTGTAGTGGTGCCATGGGTCGTAGGAGCTTATTCGTTTCCCTCGTTTGTGATTTCCAATTGTTTGCTTGCTGCTTGTCAATTGCTGTGGGTAGCGCCTCTGCTTGACACTAACAGTCTTTTTGAACCTGTGCCTACCCCATATCTCTGCAGGAAACGGTTTCAGCTGCAGCAGCGGCACTTCAGTCAGCTGGATGTGGGATGACGCACGGCAGAGGCGGTCACAGTGCTGGGACTGCCTTGTGATTGCCCTGCTGACCACTGCACCTGTTGCTGACGTTGCTGTCGATGGTGCTGCCGAACCTGATGCTGATGGTGCTGCCAAATCCGCTGCTGATGGTGCTGCCGATTCTGCTGCCGATCCTGCTGCCGACCCTGCTGCCAACGGTACTGCCAAGCCTGCTGCTGATGGTGCGGCCGAACCTGTTGCCGATGGTGCTGCCGAACGTGCTACTGGCGGTGCTGCCGACCCTGCTGCTGATGGTGCTGCTGAACCTGCTGCTGTCGGTGCTGCCTAATCGGCTGCAGACCCTGTTGCCGATGGTGCTGCCGACCCTGTTGCTGACCGTGCTGCCGAACCGGTTGCTGATGGTGCTGCCAAACCTGCTACTGGCATTGCTGCCGACCCTGATGCTGACAGTGCTGCCGAACCTGCTACTGGTGGTGCTGCCAATTCTGCTGCTGATGGTGCTGCCGAACCTGCTGCCGACGTTGCTGCCGAGCCTGCTGCTGACGGTGCTGCCAATTCTGCTGCCGACTGTGCTGCCAATGGTGCTGCCGACCCTGCAGCTGAACCTGCTGCCGAACCTGCTGCCGAACCTGCTGCCGAACCTGCTGCCGAATCTGCTGCCGAGCCTGCTGCTGATGGTGCTGCCGAACCTGCTACTGGCGGTGCTGCCGACCTGCTGCCGAACCTGCTGGTGGTGGTGTTGCCGAACCTGCTGGCGATGGTGCTGCCGAACCTGCTGCCGGCGGTGCTGACGAACCTGTCGCTGACAGCGCTGCCCATCCTGCTGCCGATGGTGCGGCCGAACCTGCAGCCGGCTCTGCGGCCGATCCTGGTGCTGATGGTGGTGCCACCACTGCTGGAGCCTTGTTCTGCTGCTACTGCTGGCGGTGGTGGTGGCGCTGCTGCTGCATCCGCTCGGACAACCTACCCAAAAAGCTAAGTGCTCTTGCCGTTCTGATTTTCTCGTTTTCGTTTTCTAGTGCCGCCGGATCAGAAGTGATGGCCGTAGGCACTGCTGCGTGGGTGGCTGAGAGGTGGATGGGAGGTTGGAGTAAATTGGTGAAAGTGAGGACGTGGCGGCTCAAGGCACTTGGCGGTCGGTCGCTTGCATGGTCTAGTCGGGTGACTTAGAAAGCATTCATTCCCATGCACGCGTCCCTCTCTCTCCTCTTGAACGTCCTCTTTCTCGTCTCAGTCCCCCTCGCATGGCAGCCAAGTGCAATGGGTTCGTTGGTGCCTCGCGCTCCAAACTCCTTGAATCCTTGAAAGCCTACCCGTTGCAGTGGTGCTGTGGGTCTTAGCCGCCTTTCATTTTCCTCATCCTTGCTTTCTGGTTTTTGCTTGTGGCTTGCCGATTGTCGGGGTAAGACCTCTACGAGACACCAACCTTTGTGTTGAATCTGTGCCTCCCTTTTCGCTGCAGGAAACCGTTTTAGCAATGGCGCTCCAGCTGCAGCAGAAACGGCACCTCGGCAGCGGCAGAAGCTCAGCAGCAGCAGCAGCCGTGAGCGTGTGGGATGACGCACGGCAGAGGCGGTCACAGAGCTGTGACCTCCTCGTGAGTGCCCTGCTGACCACTGCTGACCAATGCTGACGACTGCCGGCACCCGCTCCGGTTGGTGGGAGCAGTGGCGCTCGAGGGAAATCCTGTTGGCGGGAGGTTGCGCTGCTGCTGGTGGCGGTGCTGCTGGCGCCCTGCTGACCACTGCACGGGATCCTGATGGTGGGAGCAGTGGCGCTCGAGGGAGCAGCGGCGCTGGATGGAGCTCCTGTTGGTGGGAGGGCGCACAGCTGGGGTGCGGCTGGGGTGCAGAACCCACGCTTTAGCACCGGACGGCGGAACCCTGCTGCTGCTGCGGTGGTGCTGCCACTGCTGGTGGGGCAAAGGCGTTTCAGCTGCAGCAACGGATGCAGCAACTGCACATCAGTGGCAGCAGCGGCACTTCAGCAGCTGTAGAAACCACACCTCGGGACTGCAGAAACGGCATCTCGGCTGCAGCATCAGTTCAGCTTGGCTGCAGCAGCAGCAGCAGACCTGAGCGTGTGGGACGACGCACGGCAGAGGCGGTCACAGTGCTGTCACCGCTGTGAGTGCCCTGCTGACCACTGCACCGGGCCCTGTTGGTGGTTGCTGGCTGCAGCGCTCGAGGGAGCTCCTCTTGGTGGTTGCTGGTCGGTGGTTGCTAAGAGGGCAGCGCTGCTCGAGGGGAGTGGAGGTGCTCTAGCTGGTGGGAGCACGGCAGAGACGGTCACAGTGTTGTTGTGACTGCCTCGTGAGTGCCCTGCTGATCACTGCCTGCACCCACTCCTGTTGGTGGGAGCAGCGGCGCTGGAGGGAGCTCACGTTGGTGGGAGCACGGCACAGGCGATCTCAGTGTTGTGACTGCGTCGAGAGTGCGCTGCTCACCACTGCACCCGTTCCCTTGGTGGCGGCTGTGGCGATTGAGGGCGTGGAGGTGCTCCAGCTGGTGGGATCAGCGGTGGGAGTAGCGGCACTCGAGGGACGCTGGCTGCTTCTGCACTACACACGGCTAAGAACCCTCTTACCCTTTCCTATTCCGCTCACTTTGATCATTGAATGTCCACAACCTGTTTCTATTGTCACGCGGATTTCCAAAATAAGGGAGGGAGCAAAATTTGAACGCGTGGCGCGTGGCGATGGTAGCACATGGCACTGGGGCGGCTGGGCTCATGTAGAGTCACAGGGGGATAGAACGCATTCATCCTCATGCCCGCGTCCCTCTCTTTCCTAGTCCCCCTCGCGTGCTAGCTCCATGCCATGGTGCTGTGGGCTACCATCGCCCTTTTTCTTTTCGCAACGTGTTCCCTCGTTATCACTTTCGCGACTTGCAATCATGCTGGCTTCGTATGCTTCATTTTCTCATCGCATGCCCTGGCCTACTAGTTAGAAACTTCCTGCATCCCTTTCCCCAGTGCGTTTTCTCCCCAAGCCCCAGACCCTTGTCCCTGGCCAGAGGGAGGGCGGGCAGCAGATGCAGAGGCCCCAACCAGCAGCACCGTCCCCATCAGTAGCAGCAGCAACGCCAGCAGCAGCAGCAACAGCAGCAGCAGCAGCAGCGCAACAGTCTCTGCAGCAACGCCCCTCCTCCTTCTCCATGCGCCACCTGCCCTTCCCCCTCTCCTCCTCCCATGTGGATCTCGTGCTTGTGCATGGGATGACGCACGGCGTGCACGAGGAATGCCTCCCTCCTGCATGCCCTGCTGACCACTGCACCCGCTCCTGCTGGGGGGATCAGCGGCATGGAGGGAGCAGCGGCGCTGGAGGGAGCAGTGGCGGTGCTTCAGCTGCAGCAGTGGAAGTCAACGCCAGTGAACTCCAGTCAATTTCCGTCAACGCCAGCCAACTGGCAGTCACTTCACAAACCGGCTAAGTGCTCCATGCCCTCCCGTCTCACCTGACCTCTCGCTATTGTCGTTCATTCCTCGTTGTTTCCACGCCACTGTCTGTTGCACCCACAAGGCACAGAAGGTAAGTAGACCTGGTTAACAGCAGGTGCGTCAGAGTAAGTCCCCCCATGCCCCTTCAACGGGGCTTGTGGGTGCTGTCTTTTTGGCCAACGGCGCTCCTCTTTCCCTTCTATTTTGTTGTCTTTTTGCATTTAGTGTTTGCTTTTTATTGCTTTGCTTACTGCGTTTTGTTTTGTCTTCTGGCTATGAACCCTGGAATCTGCCAGTCGTACTCACCTTTGCTTCGAACTTGTGTACCTCTCGATCCCCTGCAGGATCGCTCTGAGGTACAGCTGCCGGAAGGTTCTGATGCTCCAGCAGCAGCAACACCAGCAGCAGAAGCTACTTCGGCAGCAGCAGCAGCACCGGCGGCAGCAGCAGCAACACCGGCAGAAGCAGCAGCAGCAGTGGGATGACGCACAGCAGGGGCAGTCACTGTGTTGTGACCGCCCTGTGGAATGCCCTGCTGACCACTGCTGCACCCGCTGCTGAGGAGGGGGAGCAGAGGGGACGGAAGGAAGGACACACACCATCCCATACCCACATCCTTGTGTGGCTGGGAGTGATGAAGGAAGGCGAGGGGCTGATGGGCCCTTAAGAGAGAAGTGCCGGCCGGCCGAGTGGTGGGGAAGAGCACTTGCCACAGTCGGCACACACCCTTGGGATGCGCGGCTGTGAGGGTGGAAGGAAGGCGAGGGGGTGATGGTGATGGGATTCGGATTGGGGGGTGATTAGAGTGCGGTGCCAGCAGGGCCGGTGGAGGGCGCTGGGGGGAGAAGAGCACTTGCCACAGTCGGTGCACACCCCCTGAGGTGTGCGGCTGGGAGGGTGGAAGGAAGGCGAGCGAGGGGGTGATGGACCTCGAAACAGTATTCGTAGTGCAGTGCGGTGGCGGTTCTGTGCTGTACCAGTGAACCGTGGTTGCGGTTCTCTGCTGTACCAGTTAACCGTGGTTGCGGTTCTGTGCTGTACCAGTGAACCGTGGTTGCGGTTCTGTGCTTTACCATTCAACCGCGGTGGCGGTTCTGTACTGTACTATGGAGCCGCGGTTGCGGTTCTGTGCTGTACCAGTGAGCCGCAACACCGGCCGCAGCATCAACAGCAGGGTTTGGTGGCGATTGGGGGGCCGAGTGGGGGCCCGTGGGTGGAGAAGTGCGCTTGCCACAGTCGGCGCACACCCGTGGGGTGTGCGGCTGGGAGGGTGGAAGGAAGGCGAGCGAGGGGGTGATGGTGATGGTGACGGACCCCAAGGGGTGGGTGATGGTCACGGGCCACGGTTTGGGAGGTCGCAAGGCCAGGTGGGACGCTGCCTAGTCTGACGCCAGGTGGGACGCTGCCTGGTCGTCTGTGTGGGTGTTGAGAGCACCAGTGGTGGCGGTGGCCCGGTGGGGGTGGCCGTGGTGGCAGCACCCGTGGGGGGCCAAGGCTCCAAGACTGGTAAGCACCTCTCCTCCCCTCAGGCGTTGGCAGCACCCGTGGAAGGCCAAGGCTCCAAGACTCCTTTTTCCCTCCTCTTCTCGTCCTCCCTTTCTCGCGTCCTGCTTTCTGTTTCGCTTCTGCTCGTCCCTTCCGCCCCTCCTCCCCTTCTCCCCCCCCCCCTTTCCCTTCCCCTCTTCCCTTCCGTCCCTCTTCCCCTCTCCCCCTCCCCCTTCCTTTCCCCTCCCCCCTCTCCCCCTCGATCCCCTCCCCTTCGTCCAGGAACCCAATGCAGACGGGAAGACGCCAAGGCTCTAAGCTTGGTAAGCACCTAGTCCCTCTCCTTCTCCTTCTCCTCGAATCATTTGCTCGTCCCGCCCTTTGTTATCCTTGCGCTCGTGATTTAATCTTCTCTGCTATTTCTAGTCGTTGATATCCTCTCTACTGTTTCTTCACCTCCCCTCAGGCGCTGGCAGCACCCGTGGGAGGCAGGGACTGCTGCAGCAGGGACGGGCGGGAGGGAGAAGCAAGGAAGAAGCGCGCTTCTCTTCGGGTGAGGACCGAGCTTGCCATTGCCTTGCGTCCTTCCCTTGCACGCGCTCTCCTCGATTCTCAGTGCTGTTCCCCCCAGTCAATCCGTCTCACATATTTTGTCACTTGTTTTTCCCTTCCCCGGTTGTCAGCAGCGCTGGCGGGAGCAGCAGCGAGGAGAGAGGGCCAGAGGGCAGCACTGGCAGGCGCTGTTGTTATGGGCTGCACGTGCGTTGTCCATACCTTGGGATGCTGGCTTGTTCTTGTTTTTTCTTCCTTTTTTTAAAGTTGTTTGAAACTCAGTGGGCAAAATTTCCCTTTGCGAACTCCGAATTTCCACCTTACATGTTCTGAATACCATTTTTGTCTCTCCTGTGCTCCCCTGTGCAGGAGATGCTTCCTCGTTCCCGTGGCAGCAGTGTACGCCGGTGCTAAGAGGTGCCTGGCAGCAAGGATGGGCGGGAGGGAGAAGCAAGAGCGGGCTTCACTTCGGGTAAGGACCCCCTTCCCCATTGCTCTGCCTCCTTCCCCATTGCTCTGCCTCCTTCCCCACTGCTCTGCCTCCTTCCCCATTGCTCTGCCTCCTTCCCCACTGCTCTGCCTCCTTCCCCATTGCTCTGCCTCCTTCCCCATTGCTCTTACACCCACGCTCTTCTTTCTCTTCGCTCCTCATTCCCCGACTTTCCTTTCTCAGTGCCGTTCTCACCTGTCAGTCCCTCGCACCCATTGCGTTCCCATTCCCTTCCTCCCTTTCCAGCCGTCAGCAGCAGTGGCGGGAGCTGCAGCAAGGAGGGGGCAGAACTGGCAGGCGCTGTTGCAATGGGCAGAAGGTGGGTTAGCCGTGCTTTGGAATACTAGCATGCCTTATTTGCGCTTTCTCTTCTATTAAGCTTTCTATCAATGGGCAGGATGCCTCGTTGCTGAAATCCTCGGTTCCGTATCAAGTAATGTCTCCCATTTTTTACCCCCCCTACCTGTTCCGCTGTGCAGGAGGCGCCTCCTTTTCCCGTGGCAACAGTGTGTTCCGGTGCTAAGGCGCAGCAGGAGGAGAGCACTCCTGCACTGGGCAGAAGGTGCGTTAGCTCTACCTTGGAATACTAGCTTGTTATGTTCTCTTCATCAGAGATTTCTATCAATGCACGGAATGACAATTTGCTGAACTCCTCTTTTCTGTCTGCCGCTTTCCCTATCACCTTATGTCTCTCATATCTTCCCCCCCCTCTTGTTTCCCTGTGCAGGATGCTCCTCCCTTTCATTCTCCAGGCGGCAGCAGCAGTGGCGGGAGCTGCAGAAAGGAGAAGGGGCAGCTCTGGCGGGCGTTGCTGCACTAGCAGAAGGTGCCTTGGCTCTGCCTTGGAATTCTAACTTGTTTTATTCTCTTCTTTTGAGATTTCTATCAACGGGCAGGATGCCTCGCTGTTGAGCTTTCTGTTTGTCTATTACGTTCTGTCTCCCATTTCTGTCCCCCCCAGGAGGCGCCTGTGTGCAGGAGGCGCCTTCTTTTCCCGCAGCAGCAGTGTGCCGGTGCTAAGGGGAGCGCGACGCGGCAGGCGGGCGGGAGTGTGGAGGAATGGGGAGCGCAATTCATCCTCCCTCCACCATCCACCATCCACCGTCCTCGATCCACCATCCTCCATCCACTATTTACCATCCTCCATCCACCATTCAGCAGCAGTGGCGGGAGCTGCAGCAAGGAGGGGGCAGCACTGATGGGCGCTGTTGCACTGGGCAGAAGGTGCGTTGACTCGGCCTAGGAATACTAGCTTGTCATGTTCTCGTCGGTTCAGATTTCTATCAATGGGCAGAATGCCGCTCTGCTAATTTATTTCTCCCATTTCTGTCTGCCCCCCACTGTTCCCCTGTGCAGGAAGCGCCTCCGTTAGCAGTGTGTGCCGTTGCTTAAGGGAGCGAAGCTCGGCAGGAGGGAGTGGGGAGCAGAGGAGTAGAGGAGGAGAGGGCAGAGGAGAGCGCAAGCCTGCGGAGGAGGAGGCAGCTGCAACCCATTCTCCCTCCACCATCCTCCCTCCACCATACTCCCCCACCATCCTCCCTCCACCATCCTCCCCCCACCATCCTCCCTCCACCATCCTCCCTCCACCATCCTCCCTCCACCATCCCCCCCAACCATCCTCCCTCCACCATCCCCCCCCACCATCCTCCCTCCACCATCCTCCCTCCACCATCCCCCCTCCACCATCCCCCCTCCACCAGCATGCAGCGGGAGGCAATGTTCTGCAGCAGAGAGGAGCGGATGGGAGGAACGGAGAAGAGCGGCGTTGCAGCAGGAGGGAGCGAGGGAGGGCTGAGTCGCCCGAGCATGCTGGCGAGGTGGAGGGCGGAGCTGGGAAGATGGGGGGTGAGATGGTGTTGTGGAGTGCGGAGCTGAAGGGTGGTTGACCCGCGAGAAGGAGTGATGGAGGGTGGAGAGAATGGGGAAGCGGGCCAGGGGGGGGCAGCTGAGGCAGAGGAGTGGAGGGATGCTGAAGCAGTAAAGTCAGGTGGAGCAGAGACGGCAGGTGAAGCAGAGACGTCAGGTGGAGCAGAGACGGCAGGTGGAGTAGAGACGGCAGTTGAAGCAGAGACGGCAAGTGAAGCAGAGGCGGCAGGTGAAGCAGAGGGTGCGGCTGAAGCAGATGGGGAAAGCTTATGCAGAGAATTCTCCTGAATCAGAGAGGAAGCCGAAGCAGAGAGGAAGCTGAAGTGGAATATGCAGCTGTATCAAATGGTGCAGAGGTGGGAGCTGAAGTAGAGAAGGAAGCTCAAGCAGAGGGTGCGGCAGAAGCAGAGGGTGCAGCAGAAGCTGAGTGTGCGGCAGAAGCAGAGGGTGCGGCAGAAGCAGAGGGTGCGGCATAAGAAGTTGCTGAAGCTCAAAGGGGGAAGCTGAAGGCAGGGGGGAAGCTGAAGGCAGGGGGGAAGCTGAAGGCAGGGAGGAAGCTGAAGGGGAGGGGAAAGCTGAAGGTGAGGGGGAAGCTGAAGGGGAGGGTATGGCATGTCCCAACCATTGCTGGGGAGTCTAAACCTCCCAACAGCAGTGGCTTGGGAAACTACCTCTTCCCTACTTCCTGTTTTTCAACCACGTGTCTCAACCACTGCCTGGGAGCCCAATCCCCCAACCAGTGGCTTGGGAGACTACCATTTTTATGGCATGTCCCAACCATTTCTGGGGAATTTAAACCATTGGTCCCAACCACTGCTTGGGAGACCTACCTGTTTCCTAGCCCTTCATGGCAACTATATATCCTAACCGCTACCAGGGGAGCCAATCCCCCGTATAGTGGCTTGGGAACTTGCTGCTTCTTACTATTACTTGATTTGGGGTACATGGATATGTTATCCCAGCCATTGGTTTGGGAAACCAGATTTCCCGGCCAATGGTCTGGTAAACTATGGGTAATCTACGGGGGGGACTAGGATCTCTTTGCCGTGGGCACCATCTGTCGCAAAGCCACTCACCCGGGGAAGTGAATCTCCCGGCCAGTGCTCTCGAACATGGTTCCTACCTACTGTTGTGGGGACTCCGGTCCCTTGCCCCTTTTGGGCCATGTTTTTCCCGGGCGGCGGTCCCCCACCTCACAGTGGTGTCCGGGTGTAATGCTAGGGGCAGTGCTAGCGCCCCTGATGGCCAAGAGGGGGCCATATTTAAAATGTACAGTAGCAGTATAGGATATTGTGACTTCGATTGGTTGTGTTGTGTGATGTAGCCACTGTAGATTCTTAATTCGTTGGTTTCTGTTCCGTTGTGGTATCTGTTCTAATGCTTGCCATGGTATCTTCTTATGGTGTGCGAGGATTATTGGAATTATGGTGCCAGAATTATTGGCCTGCAATTTGCTTGTCTCGGCGCTGCGCACGTTCTGCCAGCATATTGATAGGAGTGAGCATGAAGCAGACCATGCCTGCCAACTTTTCAAGACCCGCCATGATTTGCGAACCTTGTGCACCGCAACCACCTGTCAAACATGTCTTGTGTCGAGGGTCGGCTTCGCCGTGCCCCGCACTCCTCCTCGTTCCCCCCTACCGTCGCGCCGCTGCAGACCCTGCACCTGGACGTCTGGGGCCCCGCCCCCGTCCCTGGGCCGCGTCGCGAGCACTACTTCCTTGTGCTTGTCGACGACTTCACTCGTTACACCACAGTATTTCCCCTGGAGCGCAAGGCCGACGTGCCTGGCGCCCTCATCCCCTGGCTTGTCTCTGCGCGTGTCCACCGCGGTCTCCCTGTCTTGCGTCTTCACTCAGACCGTGGTGGCGAGTTTGCCTCAGGTGTCCTTGGTCGCTTTTGTCGTGCGGAGGGCATCACCCAGACGTTCACCCTACCGGACTCCCCACAGCAGAATGGGGTCGCTGAGCGACGCATCGGCTTGGTCATGGAGGTCGCTCGCACCTCCATGGTCCATGCCGGTGCACCCCATTTTCTGTGGCCGTTCGCTGTGCGCTACGCTTCTCACCAGCTTAACCTGTGGCCGCACCCTCAGCAGCCGCAGGTTTCGCCGACCCGTCTGTGGACTGGGTCTCCTGGTGACGCGTCTGCGTTCCACGTCTGGGGCTGCCTTGCTCACGTCCGTGCCTCCGGCACGGACAAGCTCACTGCCCGCACCCTTCCCTGCGTCTTCCTCGGTTTTCCCCTTGACGCGTCCGACTGGCACTTTTACCACCCGCCGTCTCACCGCTTCTTTCACTCTCGTGACGTCACCTTTGACGAGTCCGTCTCCTACTACCGCCGCTTCCCCCACCGTTGTCCCCCGGTTACCCCCCCCCTGTTCCTGGTAACCCCTTCCCCGGTAGTCCCTGTCAACTTATACATATTATCTATGTAGAAGTTATAGGCTAGACTGAGGTATGCTTCTAGTGAGTACAACCAACTAGTATTTGTTCTAGGTTTCCACCTCTAGTAATCATTCGTTTCTACGTTAACATGGTATCACGCTTAGGTTAGGATCCCCCCGCCTACCGCTTCCGCCCGTCGCGCCTCCTAGGCCCCGTCGCGCCCCCTAGGCCCCGTCGCGCCCCCCCTGGGCCCCGTCGCGCTCGTTAGGCCCCGTCGCGCCCCCCCTGGGCCCCGTCGTGCCCGCTGGGCCCCGTCGCGCCTCCTAGGCCCCGTCGCGCTCCCCCTGGGCCCCGTCGCGCCCACTGGGTCCCGTCGCGACCCCTAGGCCCTAACGCGCCCCCGCTGGGCCCCGTTGCGCCTCCTAGGCCCCGTCGCGCCCCCCATGGGCCCCGTCGAGCCCGCTGAGCCCCGTCGTGCCTCCTAGGCATCGTCGCGCCTCCTAAGCCCCGTCGCGTCCCCCCCCTCTGGGCCCCGTCGCGCCCGTTCGGCCCCGTCGCGCCCCTCCTAGGCCCCGTCGCGCCCGCTGGGCCCCTTCGCGCTTCCTAGGCCCCGTCGCGCCTGCTAGGCCCCGTCGCGCCCCCCCTGGGCCCCGTCGCGCCCGTTAGGCCCCGTCGCGGCCCCCCTGGGCCCCGTCGTGCCCGCTGGTCCCCGTCGCGCCTCCTCGGCCCCGTCGCGCCCCCCCTGGGCCCCGTCGTGCCCGCTGGGCCCCGTCGCGCCCCTTAGGCCCCGTCGCGCCCGCTGGCCCCTGTCGCGCCTGCTGTTAGCGCTCGCCCGCCTGGCCTCCTCCTAGTGCCGCTCGGCCTCCTCCTAGTGCCGCCCGGCCTCCTCCTAGTGCCGCCCGGCCTCCTCCTAGTGCCGCCCGGCCCCTTCCTAGCGCCGCCCGGCCTCTCCTCAGCGCTGCCCGGCCCCTCCTCGTGCCCGACCGGCCCCAGCAGCACCAGCCTGGCCCCTCCCAGCACCAGCCCGGCCCTAGAGCACCTGCCCGCCTCCCCTGCTCGGCCTGCCGTGTCCTCTCGGGCCCTGTGTCTTCTGCTTGCCTGCGCTGGGACGCCTAGCTGCTGCCCTACTGGAGAGTGCTGCCGCCGTGTCCCCGCGCCGCTGTGCTCCTGTGCCGCTGAGGAGCTGTGCTGCTGTGCCGCTGTGTCGCTGAGGAGCTGTGCCGCTGACCCTGCACGATGGCTGACTTTGTGCTCCGCCTGGACGCTGAGGGCCACGCGGTTGACTTCGCCGCCTGGCTCTCCGATCTTCGCCGCCAGCTTACAGGTCAGCGCCAGGATGGCCACTCTCTGGTTGTCCATGCTGATGGCTTGCTCCCCCGTCCCCCTGCACCTACTCCCCTCCCTGCTGACCCCTCCTCTGATGACCGTGAGGCTTTCTCTACTGCTGCGCTAGCCTGTGCGGTCTGGGACTCACGCGATGCAGTAGCTCAGGTTGCTATTAGTCACGCCCTCCCTGTGTCTGAGCGCTCGCGTTTTGCTACTGTTGAAACGGCCAAAGCTTATTTAGACGCCGTTATTGCTCGCTATTCCACCCCTGCCTCCGCTTCTGCTGGCCGCTTGCTCTTTCCGATGCTGTTCCCAGACCTGGCTGCCTTCCCTACTGTCGCAGATTTTGCCACTCATTTGCGTGCCCTAGAGACTCGCTATCGCACTGCCAGCACTGCTGCCCAGCTCACTGCGCTCCCCCCTCCTTTCTGCATGACGCTCTATTTTATCGCTATGCGCCTGCCAGACCGCCTCGCTAGTGCTCGCGACCACTTTCTTAGCCAGCACCCGGGTGACCTCACCCTGACCGCCTTTGTCGACACCCTCACTGAGATCGAGACTCGCCAGCGCACTATCGCTCAGTCGAGCGGTGCGCCGGCAGTCTCTATCTTTCACGGTTGTGCCCCATCCCCGTGCACGTTCACTGACGTTTCGGCTGCGGTCGCCACGGCGACCCCTCTTACCGAGACGGCTGCTGCTGTCCACCCGCAGCAGCACTCGCGTCGCGGTGGCCGTGGCCGCCAGGGAGGTAGGGATGGTGACGCAGGTGGTAGTGGTCGTGGTGGTGGTGACGGTAGTCCGCCTGAGGGGACTACCACCGGTGGGCAGGAGCAGCAGTCCCAGCAGCAGCAGGACCAGCCCCAGCCGCAGCCGCCGTCCCAGCAGCACCCGCCGCAGCCGTGGGCTCGTCTCCCGCCTGGTTGGCCCGGCACCTCCGGAGGCGGTGGCCGTGGTGGCGGCCCGCGCAGCTTGGCGTCTACCAGCGGCTCCAGTGCTGTGACCTGCCAGTACCAGCTTCAGACCGGGCCTCTCCGCGGCACTCTGTGCCACCGCCCGCACCCGACCGCCCACTGTTTCCGCCGCCTCGACGATCTTTTTCGTCGTCGCTTTGGCCCGGCCCCGGACCTCCCTGACTGGCACAGCCTGCTCCGCCAGGGCGTGCCGATCTTTGAGTTAGACATGGATCAGATAGGTGCTGCTTTGCATGCTTTGTATGCTGACGCTTCTAGTGTTGATGGATCTTACTACCATGTGTACTCTAGTTTAGGTGTTTCACCCTTGTGTAGCTTAGCTTCCCCTGCTGCGACAGGCGTAGGACTGCCTAGGTTGCCTAGTCTAGTCGCTGCACCGGCTCCGTCCGCGGCCTCCGCCACTGCGTCGCTGTCCTTCACTCTCGACTCTGGTGCTTCTGCCTGCTTCTTCCGCGACCGTTCCACGCTCACGCCGCTTGCTGCACCTGCTGTTGTCTCTCTCGCTGACCCCTCTGCGGGTCCGGTCGTCGCGCGCAGTTCTACGTCCCTTCCCTGTCCGGCAGTTCCCTCGGGCTCCCTTACTGGCCTCCACGTTCCCTCGTTCTCCAGGAACCTGGTTGGTGTCGGCTGTCTCCAGGACCTCGGCGTCACCACCACGTTCCCCGGGCACGAGCGGTTCGCTGTCTGTTCTGAGGCTGTCTCAGGTTCCCCCCTTGCGACGTTCCCCCGGGACCCGGTGTCCGGTCTGTTTACCCTACACACCGCTTCCCCCCCGGTTGGTGCGTCCTCCCAGGTCGCTGCAGCTTGCTCGTGTCGGTCCCTCACTCACCCCTCCCTTCTCTGGCACCACCGCTTAGGTCACCCTGCTCTCCCGCGTCTGCGTCACATGTCCCAGCACGGTCTTGTCTTAGGTCTCCCCGCGTCGCTCCCTGCCCTTCCTCCCTCGACTGCGCCACCGTGCACGCCTTGCGTCGAGGGTCGGCTCCGCCGTGCTCCTCACTCCTCCTCGCTGCGTCCTGCTACTGCCCCCCTTCAGACCCTGCACTTGGACGTTTGGGGCCCTGCCCCCGTCCCCGGACCGCGCGGTGAGCGCTACTTCCTTGTGCTCGTTGACGACTACACGCGCTACACCACGGTGTTTCCCCTGGAGCGGAAGGCCGACGTGCCCGACGTTCTTCTCCCGTGGGTTGTAGCTGCGCGTCTCCACCGCGGTCTCCCCGTGTTGTGTCTCCACTCCGACCGTGGCGGCGAGTTCGCCTCTGGTCGGCTTGGACAGTTCTGTCGTGCGGAGGGCATCACCCAGTCGTACACGTTGCCGGACTCGCCACAGCAGAATGGGGTTGCTGAGCGCCGCATCGGCTTGGTCATGGAGGTCGCCCGTACATCCATGATCCATGCCGATGCCCCCCATTTTCTGTGGCCGTTCGCTGTTCGCTACGCGGCTCACCAGCTTAACCTGTGGCCACGCTCCCAGCGGCCGCAGGTTTCGCCGACCCTCCTTTGGACCGGGTCCCCCGGTGACGCGTCTGCGTTCCACGTATGGGGCTGCCTTGCTCACGTTCGTGCCTCTGGCACGGACAAGCTCACTGCCCGCACTGTCCCCTGTGTCTTCCTCGGTTTCCCCCTGGACTCGTCTGACTGGCTTTTCTACCACCCGCCGTCTCACCGCTTCCTCCACTCTCGTGACGTCACCTTTGACGAGTCCGTCTCCTTCTACCGCCGCTTCCCTCACCGAGGTCTCCCAGTTGCCCCCCCCCTTTTCCTTGCTCCCTCTCCCCCGGTAGCCCCTGCCCCTCTCCCGCCTCGTCCTGCCCCGTCTGGTGTCTCCCACGTCACTCCCCTCCCGTCGGTTGTCCCCGTTGAGGAGTCTGCTGACTCTGGTGGTACCCCCGGTCCGTCCTTGCCGCGTCCCCCTTCCCCAGTGCCTCCGCCCCCACTGTCGCAGTC